AAAAAAAAAAAAAAAAAAACAGGACAATCAAATCTTAAATTATATAAAAAAAACTCACCGGTGGTTCGGGTCTAAACCTTCGAAATGAGTGAACTGTGAAATTCAGTTGCAGAAGGTACTATCATAGTCCCATTGGCCATTGATACGTGAACATACGCCCGTAAAATCTTTTACGATTCACAAATACCATCACTGCGAAAATGACGAGTTGATATGCTTATAATAATCGTCACATACGAACCCCAATCAACCAAAATGTCCCAAGAACACACACAGAAAACAAGTGAGTGAGTACAATATAAAGAGATCAAGTGAGATGATAGGAGAAAGCTTATAGGATAGCATTTCCCTTTACAAGTTGCTCGAAAAATAAAAAATAAAAAGACACGAAACTATAGAAATCAGCATATGGTTGATGGGGCCATTTTTTTGTCTTCAGGCTAGAAATAAGTTCCTTCCGGAGGCTGGACGAGCTTACGGTTGTGCGAGGCCGCCATTTCTTTCTTGAGCTGTGTTAGTATGGTTTCCATTGTGTACTCTCGCTGCCAGTTCGCCAGAAGTCCGAATTTTTTCGGTTCAACCTAAAGAGAGTTGACGGAAAACAAAAGAGATTGATTACACAGGTCAATCACGATACGAGTAAATCCTACTTTACCATTCAATTCACGAAAATTCTAATAATAGCTGCTCCTGTTCATGGAAATATAATATCAACTGAGGAAAGAGAGAATATTAGACGTACCACACCAGTTTCATGGTTTACACAGGTCATGTTAATTCGAGAATGGAATCGAACACTGGGAGGCTTCTCCGGGTAATCTTTGTCGCAAAACAGTTTTAACTGATATATACGCCCTTCATGCACAGACTGATACGAGAAGCAGAAAAAGCGAGATCAGTAAACTTGGGTTATCAACATAATATGATAATAATATTGAGTTAAAGAAAAAAAAAAAATGAAAGAATAGAAGAAAATCATCCAATAAATCCATAAACAGTTTAGGTTCTGCCAAAACAGCAAAGGATGATGTAAGGCTAAAAAACCGCAAAAGAGTTACTATAAAGACATACAGAAACAATTTTGTGTTTCACATTATGCATAAACCAAACTCGTGCAATGGGTGAATATTAATCAACCATGCAAGAATACAACTAAAAAAAACTATTAAGCTATTGATAAGCCACGAATGGCCATACGAATGGCCGAAGCCGAATAACTATCAAGGATAAAAAATTTCGATATGAATTATCACACATTAGAATAAGATAATCTATAGAAAGAGGAGATGCTAACATTGTGTGGGCCTATGATGGTTCCAGTCCAGGATCTCATGTAGATATCATCTCCATCATCCATACCATAGCTTACTGTACCATCCCCAATGCCCTTCTCCCCTCTTTCGAGCTCCTCCAGCAACCGGAAATTTCGAGGGACTGCACGAAAACCAGATGACCTCATTATTCTGTATACTTAACTAGATCAATTTCATGCCCACAAAAGTGTTGAAGATTACAAGCCTCTTCGTACCATTTGTTCGGACGAACCAATTGCAACAAATAACACGAAATTTCAAGCAACAAAGTGGAAATGAGTGTCAGCAAGTAATGAAATTTTCTTGGCTCTCAAAGGAAAACAAATCTTAACAACCTTTTGACGCACAATGTGCAAGTCTTTGTCGTGCAATTGACAACAAATGCCGATGCATAGGGAAAAAAACGTAATTAATCATCAAATAGATTTACTTCACCTTTTTGTCCGTGGACATCACGGAACAAAACCATGACACACCAAATGAGAGGACAAACCAGCTCACCAGGCGCTCAACAGAGTAACACAATCTAATTAACGTCCGTATAACACCATAAAGCCATACTTGTCAAAAGTACAGTAATAACAAGCAATTGATGTTCACATAAAAAAAGAAAACAGCCCACCAGGCACCGGGCGCTCAAGACTGTAAAACAATCTGATTAACGTGAATAAAACACCATAAAAGCCATATTTGTCAAATGTAAAGCAAAAGCACCAAACATATTCAACTGATTGATTTTTCCACCAAAACCCCATATCAAAACATCTAAGATCCATAGAAATAAAACCACGACATAAACAAAAACCCATCATGTATCAATGATAATCAGATCAGATAACAGTAGTTTTACGGAGATCCATCATTCAACCCTTCAAATGAATCGTTAACAGTTCAAGCACTAAGACCCACAAAAATCAACAACCTTTTTGCAGATTAACGGTAAAAAATTATGAAAATTGAGGACATCCCAGAGACCCAAAAAAAAAAGAAAGAAAAAAAGAAAAGCATTTAAATGCTCGAAACATAAAATTCAAGAAATGGGAAAAGATTTACCGACGACGCTGGATCCTCCTGAGCCAAGAGTCATGGTGCGCAAACTAATTATGCTCCGATGGGTTTTGGGTTCAGATCGATTTGATCGAGAAAAAATGGGGAGAGAGGCGGAGTAAAGAGAAGTACAGTAGACGGACTCCAAGATTGGGTGTGGGAATAATAAACAATAAAGTGGCGGAAGAATAAAGTTCATTAGAATAATTGAAAGCACATCACTCCCATTTAATTTAAGAGTTAATTGCTAAATAAATCTTAATCTTTTTGCGTTTGACAATTTTATCTCAATTTTTGGATAGTTGCAATATAATCTTGACCTCAATTTACTTATTGCAAGTCGAACCTAAAACCGGTTGGACCTTCAAAAAACTGGTCGATTTGAAGACGGTTCGAACAGATCGGAACTCATATTTACCGGTTCACTCCAGATCTAGGAGGAGACTCATCACCGGTAGCTTACATTGACGTGGAATTTCGGCTTTGTGCGTGGATATACATTAAATACGTGGAAATTGTCAACTTGCTACGCCCATGGCATAAAAACCCGTGTTCATAAAAACTCGTGTTAATGGAAGACTTAGACACAAAATCGATCCACAAACGGTTTTGCTATGGAGCCATCGGATGGCTCGGCTTATGGAGCCATCCATTGTTGTTCACAAATGATGTATTGACACGTGTCCTGCAATTAACCCTTAATTCAACCTCAAAATCTAATTTAATTTTTTTAGGCCATAGACCTAATGAGATTCCTAGACTCGAACTCGACAGGAATAGGACACTCTAATAAAATCGTCAGGTTCATAGTCCACTAGAGGGGACGAAACTCTGTGCAAACCGATCAGAGAGGAAGACGCTAGGCTCGCTATATGGTCACCTGCAAAATTACCTCCCTATACACATGTTGTATTCTAAGGCACCAGTCCCAATGAGCCATGCTGCGAATAGCTTGACAAGTGTTTCATGTGCTCCGAAATTGTCCTTGGTGCCAAGCACCATTTGTGTCACACATTGTTTGTCGACCTCGGCAATCATGAATTGTCCTCGGTGCCAAGCATCACTTTAATTGTTATTACTATAGTTTATCGTATTTTAAAACTACTCAAATTATATAGGATGTTGACACAAAATGTATTAGCAACTCACATCTAATATTATAATTCGGTTATTCGATTCGGTACAATATGTGATAGTTTGGTTCGGTTCGGTTCTCGATATGGATATTTGTCAAATTTCCAAAAATGTACAAATTATTTTTTCGGTTATTCGAATAAAGTCAAATGGTCAACAACTATTTTTCAGTTCGGAATGACTTCGGTTTAGTTTTCGAAAATAATTCTTCGAGTCCCGTTTATAGCCCTAGCCCCGTCGACAAAGTTGTTTGTTTAATGTATATATATTTGAATGATAGGCTTCATTAAAAAGTTACATAGTTACAAGTTGCTAACTAGCTGGATGAATTAGCTAGAAAGTTATCCAAATTGGAGGTCAACACTTCGGTAGTCTAGAAACGACTATGCTACAAACTTACCTATAAAACTAAACAATACTAAAAATTCTCACCAATTGAAAATACAAATTCTAAAAAAAAAAAAAAAAAAGAATAATGCCACACACAACACCGACACACAACAACCCAAACCCCACAAAAACCACTAACAAACTAAGCACACTAAAGAGGTAAAAGAACAACCTAAGCACACTAAATACTAAAACACTAGCAATACTAGAATAACACCCTCTCGCTAGCCGGCAAAAACAAAACTCTACAACAAAACCACGAAACTGACAACCGGAGGCAGCCACCTGCACAGACAGAAACCTACCTGGCCTAAGTCAAAGACCCATAAACTCCAGTACTTCTACGGCTAATTGGATCCGAACAGTTCCTTTCCCAAATGGACCACTCCTAGACCAGCAACCAGAGATCGGCTCAAACCCACCTCCACCTCCACCTCCACATCCGCCGGCAAGCACGGACCCAAAAATCAGCCCAAGCCCTCACTTGTAGGCTGAAATCCAACTACCCAACACCAGAGGAGAATGGAAACATGGAGAGGAAGATGCTAACCACAAATTCGACTACACCAAGGGGATGACCGGGCTAACCACTCGATCTCGTTGCAGAAGTTGTCGAAAGCCCGCTCCAAGAAACCTGACGTTGCCAACCAAAGACCAATGACAAAACACTACATAAGGAAGGGGATGATGGTGCCACAAGAGACGAGCTGCACAACTCAGTGATAGACGACGCCGTGGCGACACTAAGTCATGGTACACGATCTGCCCGCTACTGTTGTAGTGGGAGGTGCAAGACCACTTCTAAGTGATAATTGCGTTAGAATACCACCAAGGTGATGAACTGACAAACCAATACGACCTTTCCTTCTTCGTTTTCGTTTCTCCAAGCAATGCAACGAAGGTTTTTTGCTAAAAAAATTGTATTGACTTGACTCATTTCACTATATTGGACTTGAACCCAACAACCCCCAGAGGCTCATTTGGCTCAAAACCAACTCAATCCTATATGCATTAAATTAGTAAGTAGGGAATAGGTCATTGAGAATAGGCTGAAGACGGCGCGATAGAGGAGCCAACAGAAGAGGAGAGACAGATGATTTTTTTCTTATTTTGGAAAGGGGTTGCTGTTCAAGAGATAAAATGATTTGAGCCATAAAAATAAAAATAGTTTAAAGTTCAACTAGTACATTGTTACTTTTGGCAAGGAGTTGGTCCGTTTGGTCCAAAATTAGTAGTCAATAGAATGAAATTTCTAGATTCGCGTCATGGGCCGAACCTTGTCTTTTTGGGTGACATTGTTTTGATTCATGTGGAGAGGTTTGGAGTAGTGTCTGGCTAGTGGAAATAGCCTTATTCTAGTTATTAAGTTGTGTTTCTCTTTTTCATTGGTTAGGGTTGTGTGTGCTAAGTGTTCTTATGTATTTTGGTTTGAGTTTTTATTCTTTTTTTAGGAATTGTATTCTCTACTAGTGGGAGTATCGTATTATTGTGGGTGCATTTGTTGTAGTCTAGACTTCCCTGAGAATGTTCTCTTACTAGATTCAGCCGTATCGTTGCTCGATTTAGCTATTAAATTCTAGTTTCTGGATTGTAAATATGTATTTTATTGTAAAATCATATTATGGTGTCACAACATGATGTGTGATAGTTGTGGCACCAATCATAATGGGTCACATCATGTTGTGGCATCATAATATAGTGCCACATGTGGTGCCATAGAATTTATGTATTAAAAAAATACAAAAGTCTAAACTAAAGAATATTTTGTTATTGGAAAAAAAAAAGAATATTTAGTTACTATTTTATTATTCTTCAATTTTTTTGAATAAAGAATATTTAATTACTATTTTATATAACTTAAAACATCTAAAAGTCTAAACTAAGTGATATAATAATTCGATTTTATTAAAACTATCTTAATATGTAGTTTTGTTTATATTAAGAATGTAATTAAAAATATTGAAATAGATTTTTTAATAAATAATTGAATTGACGATTCTTTAGCAGTCGGCTATTGAAAAGGGATTGGGTCGGGTCTGATGACGAATTCCCAGTTTGATCCTAACAACCTTGTACTCATATAATGGACATGCCACGCTAATATTTAATCACATTAGCTAAATACTAGTATATATTTCAAATAATTAAAATTTTATCATCCCCTTATATATAATTTCGGATGTGCTGAGTCTAAGTGGCGGCTCGCACACTTCGAAATCTTATATGGCAAATTTTTTAGATTTGTTATCTGGTTTTGATGAATTTTTAATTTATTTCCAATCCATAAATAACTAGGCTTGGAATATCCATAAAAATACTGGATATTATTATTCTTTTTAAGAGCATTATTTATGTTTAAATATTATTTCCTACTGATTTATAAGTTATAATATTTTTACAATCATTCTTTTAAAATTGTAACAAAGTTACTAACTTAAATTGCAAATAAATTTTAATGTTAACAAATTTTTTATATTAACAAATTTTTTATATATAATATATTAAATTAATCATGTCTTGATGAACTTCGATTTGACATCTGTATTATACATAAAAAATAAATAAATATTTATATTTATCTTTATAATTGAAACTAAATTACATGTTAATATTAATTTGAAAAAAATAAAATTATTTAAACTAACTTAACTACAAGTAGTTATCCAATATAAAGTAAAAAAATATATAATATAAGATGGCAAGTCGTGTGACGGTATCATTTTAAATATACATAATAATATATTTTTTTATAAAAGTATTGAAAAACTAAAATAGTATTTGTTGTTATTATATTCAATTTAAACATAATTTTCTTAACAAGTATCCGTATAGTAAACTTGTATTGCACTAGTATTATTATTAATTGATAAACTTATTTTTTAATCATGATTGATAACAAGATTTTTAATCTAACCGCCAAAACGATGGTTTGACCACTCGGTGAACACAATGAACCAGATACAATCTGTAGTCGGAATCGTAGTTGGCGATTCAGTTACGGCTTGCAAACCTAAAAACCAAAACTGAAAACTCAAATCGGTTGCTAGAAGAATGTTTGCTTCAATCGAAAATTAAAATTTATGTTGACCATGGTTATATCTATGAAAACAACAATTGTAGATCATGAGAGTAGCATGCTCGGTGAGTACCTGCATGGGTGACGACAAAGCGACGACAACATCTTGGTTTGGATCCAATTTACTATGATTTCATCAAGGCTTATGTTGATTGCAGTGCCCTAGCGAGACCATTGACTCAGGTGGAGGAGAATAAAGTTGAGGCTCGACTTTTGCGCCGACATTGGCGGTCTGGTGGATGACAAGTGTGTAAATTCAGCGACTTTTGGATTTTCATTCGGGTTAAGGATGAAATTGCAACCTTTTTGTATACATACGAGACGACTTCCAAAACCTCTATGCGTGGAGGGACTATTTTGTCAATTATTTGAACATATAGGACCAAAATTTCAATTTTTCATTTGTTTGTTTTTTTGGTCACAAATGGTTTGGTTTAGGCGCACTAATATCTTCATGGCATGGATTGGTCGAGTCGTTGCCACTTAGAAGAGAAACTTTCATTTTCGAAGGAAATTGTGTTATGATAATTATTTTTATTTATCAAAAAAAAAAAAAAA